ATGTCTAATGTGCCTCAATGATTACATGTCAACTATGTGACTGGGTCTGCTCATGAACTTGTATGATGCTGATACATGTTGACGCCACAAACACAACTTTACAGCCTTTCTGATCAACTTGTGCCAATATCAGCAGCTGTTTTTACATGTTATCAAACGAAAAGAGAAAAGTCCACATCTGTAATGAAGCCCCAGCGCACATGCTAATGCTAATGCCAGCTCTTCACACAAACACGTGGCTCATTGAATTAGCCACACAATACAATACTACAATTGTTCATATCCCGTTGTGTTCATGTATTGAATCCATATTTCATGATCATTTCAGTGGTATTACCTCCAGGGAACAGGGGCAGGGCGTGGGAGGGGCGAGCCATCCTTCACAAAGTGACCGTTCAAAGATGTTTTCAGACCTGGAAAAGTGTCAACAAAGTGCTTTTGCAAAGTGTATTAGTGCCTCAGTGTTATTACCACCGCTTTATCCTCAAACGCAAATGAGACGGAGAGAGTTCACAGTTCCACACAAGCGTCAGAGACCAACAGCAAGTGAAGTGAGCGAGCAGCGGTTTGAATATATACAACTTACGTCTCCATGACAACGACGCACCCACAGGTTATTAAACGTGATTATTGACCTACCAGGTCTATTCCAGACATTTATTATTGTATTATTGTATTATCTATGATCTTAAATAATAGATCCTGTTTGATGCACCTCTGCTGCTGTGACCTAAAGTGCTGCTGCATTTTAATACTAATACTACTTTTGTTTGCGACTTTTATCTATTATCTATGTATTTGTTTTGTTTGTATGGATGGATTTGTTTCTATCCATCTATAAGGTGCAAATTCTATCTATCTATGTGTGCATAACCTGAGTGCTCTTTTTTCTGCAAAGATGACATTGAAATTTCCCACTGAGGGACAATTAAAGGTTGATCTTATCTTAGAGAGAGGTGAGTAGAGACTGGAGCTTTTGGAGAATGTCATTGTGAACTTTAGTCAGAAGAGGGCGCCAAAGTCTAGCATCTTGAATCCATCCATTCATTGCAAGAGACATTGTGCATTTGTGATATAGATGTGCACAAACTACTACAGATGTGTCATTCATATTTAGGAATTATCATCCTTTTAAATACAGTCCACTTCCATCTTGATCATCGTCTGCATCAGATTCTTGTTTATCTGTAAATCATTTCTATGATAAACATTAAATGCAACATTCCAGACAAAGCAATACATTTTGAATCACACCTAATTAACTATAAAACACTGAGAGCACAGATCCTGTTCAAACTCTGAAGCTAAACAGGACAGGGCCTGGTTAGTCCTGTGATGGGAGACCTCTGGGAACACCAGGTGCTACAGTGGGCGGCTGTGGCTGTAAAGTGCCAAACTGTCACTTCACCCACATTGCCTAGAATGAGTCTGGTGTGTGTACCTATAGTTAGTGTTTGAAGTAGAAAATGGCATTTACTGGTTGCCTTGCTTCTGTAAGTATGCCGCAGGGCAGCTGTGGCTAGAGTAGTAGTTTATCACCACATTGTATTTTTTTTAAAAACTTATTTGGCAGGGACAGTACAAAAAATAATTGTCACCCACTGGTTAGGCTTTTGTAAAACAGTGAACAAACATTTGTCCATATTAGATCCAGTTTCAGTGCTAACACTTCGGATTTTCCTTAAGCCACTTTTTCAGCTTTGTGGAGAAAAGTTTCACGTCCGACAGTGACTTCAGCTCCAGTGGCAAAGAGTTGCACAGATGTGAGGCCTTCACTGAGACTGACCCAGATTCGTCCGGCACCTTCTCACTCTGTAGCTCCCACTGACTACAGCTCGAGTCTGCACACCCTCACAGCTGTACCTTTGGAATTCTTTACACAATACTTCAGGGGCTAATCTATTAAGACACAAAAAAGCTTTTAAAAAGGTAAAATGTATAAAATTATCAAAACTCATCATTTTGTGTTTTTGAGTAATTTGGCAGTGATGATGCTTCATTGGCTTTCGATCATATATTTGTGTTTGTTTATATAATCAGAATCAGAATCATTTTTATTGCCACGTAAGTAACAGGAAGTCACAGACATGGAAATTTCTTTGGCTCAGTGCAACAGTCAGAAAGAGATAATAAAAAATAAAGAATAAAAAACACTTCTAAAGAATAAATTTAAATTTAAAATAGAGTTACAGTTACTATTTACAATATACAAGTGCACATGGTGCACACAATGTAAGGTGACAGCAGTACAGTGAAGTAAAGTGACGTATGAGAGCGCCATTCCAACACATTTACATGTTTCCCCTTAAACCACTGAAGTGTTGCTTTAGCAGTGTGTTTGGGGTCATTGTCCTGCTGGAAGGTGAACCTCCGTCCTAGCCTCAAATCACGCTCAGAGTGGTACAGGATTTGCTCAAGAATATCCCTGTATTTAGCACCATCCATCTTTCCCTCAACTCTGACCAGTTTCCCAGTCCCGGCTGCTGAAAAACATCCCCACAGCATGATGCTGCCACCACCATGTTTCACTGTGGGGATGGTGTTCTTTGGGTGATGTGATGTGTTAGGTTTGCACCAGACATACCGTTTTCCTTGATGGCCGAAAAGTTCAATTTTAGTCTCATCAGACCAGAGCACCTTCCTCCATACATTTGGGGAGTCTCCCACATGCCTTTTCGCAAACTCAAAACGTGCCATTTTGTTTTTTGCTGAAAGTAATGGCTTTCTTCTGGCCACTCTGCCATAATGCCCAACTCTATGGAGCGTACGGCTTATTGTCGTCCTATGCACAGATACGCCATTGCCCTCCTTGCCCGGTCCGTGAGTTTTGGTGGGCGGCCGGCTCTTGGCAGCTTTGCTGTTGTGCCATGTTATCCATTTGGTTGTGATAGATTTGATGGTGCTCCTGGGAATCATCAAAGATTTGGATATTTGCTTATAACCTAACCATGACTTGTACTTCTCAACAACACTGTCCCTTACTTGTTTGGAGAGTTCCATGGTCTTCATGGAACTTCACGGTGGCTGAGTGGATAGCACTCTCGCCTCTCAGCAAGAAGGTCCTGGGTTCGAATCCCGGTCGGACCAGGGCCTTTCTGAGTGTAGTTTGCATGTTCTCCCTGTGTCTGCGTAGGTTTTCTTCCGGGTACTCCGGTTTCCCCTACCACTAAAAATATGTCCAATAGTTCTGGCATGCGCCTCCTGTACTGGCGACCCCGCTCCCATCTCTGTGTGGAGTGAGAGACAAATGCCCGAAATTAACAATTGTAAACTGCTTTGAGACTCTGATCTGCAGTGAAAAGGCGGTATATAAATAAAGATTACTTACTTACTTACTCATGGCAGTGTTTGGTTAGTGGTGCCTCTTGCTTCGGTGTCGCAGCCTCTGAGGCCTTTCAAAAAAGGTGTGTATATGTACGGAAAGATCATGTGACACTTAAAGCTGTGTATATGTACTGACAGATCATGTGACACTTAAAGCTGTGTATATGTACTGACAGATCATGTGACACTTAAAGCTGTGTATATGTACTGACAGATCATGTGACACTTAGATTGCACACAGGTGGACATAATTTCACTATTCATGTGACTTCTGAAGGTAATTGGTTGCACCACAGCTTTTTATGGGCTTCATAACAAAGGGGGTGAATACATATGCACATGCCAAATTCCAGTTTTTTATTCTGAAAAACACAGTTTTATGTATATATTTTTTAAATTCACTTCACCAACTTAGACTATTGTTTTCTGATCCATCACATGAAATTCAGATTAAAAAAACATTGAACTAAAGGCTGTAATGTAACAAAATACGTAAAAAGTAAATACTTTTGCAAGGCACTGTAGGAGCCAAAATGTAGTTAAGATACTTTGTACAGCCCCCATTGACGCTTTTGTCGCCATCTAGTGGACGCACTGGGGTAGGGCTACATAAGGTGTGCAGTATCACCTGGAGGTGTGGCTGCAGTAGGAAGAGACAGTCTTTGACCTCACTCACTCACTCACTCTGTCTCACATCTGCCTTTCATTTTGATTTTGGTACAATTGGAAGTACATTTTTTGTTGGTAAAATAAATATAATTTTTATTATTCAAGAATCTTTTTTGTGGACATTTCTTATTTTTTATGTGGAGCGTCAGACCCTTTTTGCTCAGTCACCACAAAGAAAGGATTTTTTCTGACTCTACAGGCACTGTGTGTGTATATATATATATATTATAAACAGATGCATTATCATAATTCTTATCAACTAAAATGCATAAATCCACGTCCAGTACCTTGGCTTTCAATATCTGCTGATGCCTGAAATGAACCAATAATAGTGAAAAGGAATAAAACATGTTTAACAAACTGGTGTGTGTGTTAGCTTGTTTTTTCTGTATTTCAATATATATTAACCAGTTTTAGCACTTGTTTTACTAAATCTGGTGGAAAACTAAATATTTTTTAGAGGACCCAGGAACAATTATTGTAAAATAGTGTGTGACTGTTCTCCTTTGGTCACAAGTAACACAACACTTCAACACAAACTTACTATGACTGAAATAAGAAATGAAAGTATTGAATCTGACATTGGTTGGTTTTTATTATGACCACATTTGGATTTCTTCAGTGTGTCTTCAGTTAAACTTTCTCCATCCCTCAGTTGCTCTGGGCACATCTGGACACATCCTTCCATTTTCTTCCACTTTATCCTGGGCCGGGTCACAGAGGCAGCCGTCTGAGTGGCCCAGACTCCCCTCTTCACGCACACCTCCTGCAGCTGGATCAGGCGTCCCCAGCTCCAGACTCAGCTCCCTCTTCACCACAACAGTCCCATACAGAGGCAGCATCACGGCAGACGCTGCTCCTTCCCTCACAGTGAACAAGACCAGAGACACTTGAACATCTGCCTCCGGTCCAGTTCCCTGTCCTGGTATTCAGAGGGGCTGAGTTTTGACGTCAGACGCCCTCACATTTGTTTTGGTCACAGTTTCTCAGTTAGGTCCAACTGCTCCTCAGCGCCTGCAGTCACAAGAAAACAGAAGAATAGTGTTGTTGAAATCTTGTTGTAAATCCTCACACAGATTTGCTGGAGGTACTTTACTCTCACCTCTGTTGGAGCTTGTCCTAGTTCCGGCGGCTCTCAGCAGACATGGCTCTGGTCTTATCTACACTGGTAAACTGTGGGCTGTGGTCAGGTGCAGGGGGTGTGGCTCTCTGTGGTGCTGAGCTGGTGGAGGCCCCACTAATCCGGGTGACTTCTAAAACTGGCTCTGGGCCCCTGCTCCACTCACATCATAGTCTGCCAGATGAAAAGGCACTGGAGAACATCTTACAGGTCCAAGGCCACGTGCTCCTGGCTCTGGGTTCTGCATCTTTAACTCATTGAATGCCAGCCTATTTCAGAACAGGTACTCCCACAGTGCCAGCCATTTCTGATGATTTTTACTGATTTTTCAAGACCCACAGAATATTGTGTACTATGACTATCTGAAATCCGACACCAGATTCTAAAAGAATGGACTGTCTACTTTCCTCAGCAAAAAGAATTTCGTTTATAGCTTTTTTCGTTCCCCTGTAATCCTCCGTTGAGTAGAGGGAAGTTTTACTGAAATCACCAGAAATCACCAGAAAGTTGAGAAAAAAGAGGCACAACATGTGCACCTACATGTTTTCAAACCATTCAGAGAGAAATGCTGCCACCTGCTGGCTCGATAGAATATGGTCTCAAGTCATCCCCATACATATTAGATACAATAGACATCTGGGAACGTGAAAATAGCGAAAAAGGCATTTGACGTATTAATGCGTCAATGGCACATGGCGTTACTATTTGCTTTGACGCATTTGTGCGTCAATGGGACACAATGAGTTAAACATCTGCATCTGACGACAAAGGACCAGTGGAAAAGAGCATTGAGCGTATTGTTGCTGGTTGGAGAATGCAACAGAACTGTGCTAAATCCACTGAAAAGGTTCCTCCTCTCATCACCTCAGACGCTTCTTCTTGACGTGAAGGAGCAGCGGCTGTAGTCAGAGCTAACTCATGGCTCTAAGACTTGTATCTGCTATCTTGTCCTTTGAGCCATTTTCCAAAGCTCACGGTGGGAACATACACTGAGCAGTAAATCCAGAGCTCTGATTATAGACGCTGCTCCCTCTTCACTACAACAGCCTGATAGAGCTCTGACTGTAGACGCTGCTCCCTCTTCACTACAACAGTCTGATAGAGCTCTGATTGCAGACGCTGCTCCCTCTTTACTACAGCAGCCTGCAGCTTCAGAGTGAAACAGGAGAATGATTCTGTTCATCTTGTTGTAAATCCTCAGTTTTCTGGAGACCTCTCTCAGGTTTCTTTCCTGAACAAAAGCAAAGTGTTATAAGAGTGTTTTGAGAAGAGCAGCAGGACACAGACTGAAGGCCTCTCACTTGGGATGAGTCTGGTCTCTTTGTGGCAGGTTCCTCTCTTCCTCTGATGTGGACTGCAGCATCCACAGGTCACTCTCACAAGAATAGATCCTACATTTGGTCAAATACAAGTTTGGTGTCTCTTACATTCTAATGTGCAGATACAGACTGAACATTCTGCATCTCAGATATTGACTTACAAATATGTGGATGTGTGTTCTTTGGACTATATGTGGCTGGAGCTGGAAGTACAACAGTCATTGTAGTTGTGGAGGACCATGACTTTTCCAACACTGAGCTTGAGTTCCTGTAATGAAAACGAGTTCATTCAGCTCATTAGGATCAGGGTGGTCTCTGGTGGTGCTTCAGTGCAGTAGTGTGGTTGATACCATGGACAGCTCCATCAGCGACACATCCATCTGTGAACAGTGGGAGCAGACTGATCCTTTCATTCACAAGTTCATGACTTATTTGGAGATGACTCACCGGGACATGATAGATGCAGCGGACTCCTGTCTCCAACTGGAACACAAATCTGGAAACAAACTGAAGACTTTGATAATGACAGAGTCAGTTAAAGCTGTCAGTGTGTGTTCCTCATGTGCTCATACACACAATGACTGTACCATGACTTTAACACACACTCCTACCTGGTGTGCTGATGTGTGTGTCTCTCAGTGCTGTCAAAGCTGGAAGTGTCTTGTCTCTGTCCTCAGCCCAAACAATTGTACATGTCTTACCTTTGGCCGAGGAATCTAAAGTCACAGCCTCCAAATCCTGTTGAAGGCTGTACATTCACACAAGAGCACATGGGTTTAAGACCCACTCTTTGTCCTTTGACAAACTGTTAAATACTGTCAAATATGACTTGTGTGTGTGAGGAAATGAAGGAGAGACATTGTACCTTTATTATTGTTTTCATGAAGGTTTTAAAGTGAATTCAAAGTATTGGGTTCTTTAACACTAGACAATAAAAGGTTTTGTGATGTTATTACCTTGAGGTTAAAACCTTATATTGTCTGGTTTAGAAGAACCCAAAATGAATCTTTCTAAACTTTTAAAGTGACTGTAGAAAAGCATAGGGACAGAATGTTTTAAAGTAGCATTTACCTTTTACTCTGCATCAGCTTTGTTTGGTTAATATGTCTGTCTACATTGTCCAAACAAAACATAAATATAAAATAAATAAAATAAATAAAATAAATAAAATAAATAAAATAAATAAAATAAATAAAATAAATAAAATAAAATAAATAAAATAAATAAAATAAAATACTTATAATATTTGGAGACCACAGGATTTCGTATCTGCTGTTTGCAGACGATGTCCTGTTGGTTCCAACAAACCAGGACCTTCAACATGCACTGGGACGGTTTGCAGCCGAGTGTGAAGATAAATATCAGCTCCAAATCCGAGGCCATGGGGCTCGACCAGAAAAAGGTGCCTCGCCCTCTCCAGGTGCAGAGGTCCTTCCTCCAGTGGAGGAGTTCAAGTATCTCGGGGTCTTGTTCACGAGTGAGCCTCTCGTGAACAACCTCTGGTCATGAGCTTTGGGTAATGACCGAAAGAACGAGATCACAGATACCATCCATCCATTTTCTTCCCCTTAATCCATTTCTTGGACGGGGGGTGGCAGTCTGAGCACCAGCCCCTCACTGATCCTCCTGCAGGTGGTGAGTCCACAGGAGATTTGGTCTTCCAGCAGGGGCTTCAGGCAAAGTGGGGTTAAGTGTCTTGCCCAAGGACACAACGACAGCAGACATCAGTGAGAGTCGTGAAGTAGGTCTCGTGGTGGGCTCGAACCTATGACCTTCAGGCCCAAAGGCCAATGCTCTACCAACTGAGCCACTGTCACTGACTGAGCCACTGTGTCCTCAGACACAAGTGGTGGAAATGAGGTTCCTCTGCAGTGTCCCTCCCTTAGAGATTTAGGACGCGGAGCTCAGTCACTCGGGAGGAGCTCAGAGTAGAGCTGCTGCTTCTCCATGTCAAGAGGAGCCTAGTGGACATCTGTTTCAGAGACCTCCTGGACGCCTCCCTGAGGAGGTGTTCAAAGCATGTCCCACTGGGAGGAGACCCAGGGGAAGACCCAGGACACACTGTAGGGACTATGTCTCTCAGCTGGCCTGGGAATGCCTCGGGATTCCCCCGGATGAGCTGGAGGAAGTGTGTGTGGAGAGGGAAGTCTGGGAGTCTGTGTTTAGAGAAGCTGCCCTCGCAACCCAGCAATGGATAAAGCAGAATCATTGGAAGGAGGAGGGATCACAGCACCAACCCTGTAGATGGTACTCCACCTCCTCTCCTGCTGATCCTCCTCAGCTCTAGAGCAGGGTGACCCGTGTGGCCCACGGGCCCCATCTTGGGAATCCCTGCTCTAGAGTGAACACAAGGCCAGGCGTACTATGCAGGAAACCACACTAGAGTCAGCTTAAGCTCTTATTTCTTCCATTCTCAAATACTATCAAGTCATTGTGTCATTGAGTGATTTTTGTCAAAGTTGATCTGTGTCTAATACGTTCCTACGTAGTTTTCCTGACCTTTGATTTAAAAATGCACATCAAAGCAGTGAGAATTGCACCAGCAACCATCAATAAATCAATCAACAAACTTTATTTCCATAAAGTTCAAAGGGCTGGTTATTGGGCGACTCCCCACAGGAGAAAGCAAAGAGTACTATGGAGGACAGAGTGAGACCTCTGCTCACATGAGGATCATCTGTGGACTTACTGCTCATGTTCAATCTGTTTCTGCTCTGGACACTTGTCAGGATTTACACTTTATGGAAGTCCTACATAGTTTTCTTTTCCTTCTCCTCTTTTGAAACAAACTATGACTGATCCTAGAACAAGGGTCTTAAACCTATAGTGCGGAGCGACCAGTGGCTCTCCAGGCCTTTCAAAGTGTCCTCTGAAAGGCTTTCTCTGTGTCTTTCATCACTGAAACTACTCACTATGATAGAATATATCCTTATTACATCATCTATCCTTTTGTGTTCTAATGAATGAACACATGATTTATGTTTGATACACATATATCTGTTAGAAGGCTGAACACCCTTGTTCTAGGTAAATGTTTTTTTTTTTTTTTGGCTTAAGGTAAATGGCAACATATTGCCCCAATAAATAAATCAAGAAATAAATAAATGTCCCGAGGAGAAATGGGCTGCTGATGGTGGAGCGTGTGTCCCATGTGAAGCACTTTGTGACCTCCTCTGGTGTCAAAGTGCTGTAGAAACAGGCGTGGCCTTCTCTCCTCCTCTTCCTCCAGGACCTGTTGTCTCCAGTCTCAGTCTGAGCTTCAGTCCTCGTCTGAGTCGGAGTCTTGGAGCAGGTGGAGCTGCTGGAAGTAGTGGACGAATCCCCCGGACGTCCCAGCAGAGGTGGAGGGGGTGGGCTCCTCCTCAATGTCCTCAGAGCAGGAGAAGCGCGGCCTCTTGGAGATGGGCTCTTCCTCTTCATCTTCATCCCTGTGGCGCCTGGACCTCCCTGGACGACGCTCCTCTTCAAAGACGGGACAGGGCGCAGGAGGAGGGCTCACTGCTCGCTGCTGAGGAACCCCCACAGCTGGAGCAGGAGGGTCCCACGGGGGCAGGCCAGCCCAGAAGTCCTCTGGAGGAAGACGCTGGTCGTCCTCTTCACTGTCCTCGTCTTCCTCTTCGCTGACGTCCTCCTCGGAGAGACTGTCGTAGCCAGAGTCTGCGTCGTCCCAGTCCTCCTCC